TTTTACGAATATTAGTTTTTCATGTTGTCAACTAAATGAAATTATTAGGGGCAATTCTGCTGAGTGCTATTCAAGCAATTGGCGCTGATATTCCAGTTATGAAATTCAATAGTTTGGTAAAAAATGTTAATAAATAATCAAGAACTCAATAATAATAGGGCATAAAGACTGACATTTTCATTGTATTTAGATGATCAATTATTGATTTGTGTTTAACTTTATATTGTTTGTGTAGTCAATATCTTAATCGAAATATCATATACGAATACACCTCGATCAATATTTTAATTATTCTAACGCCAATCTGGAAACGAAGGTATTAGAAAGTTCTATTTGATTTTACATTTGAATTAGGCAGACATGTCTAACTAAACATCGTTTTAAAGCAAGGGAATTAAGAGAGGCATCTGGACAATTTTACACTATTTTGGGACAAATTTGACACCGTTTCAGGACAAAGTGGGAAACTAAAGTAAAGGAGATTTTCTTCTCAAAAGCAGCGATTTTACGGCTTGTTATTCTTTCTAGAAGATATAAATAAACGCAGCTGTGATCGAACTAGAAAGCACAAATCTATCCCATCTAGACGTAAACAATTGAATAAAACTCCTGTTTAATGCTTCCTACTTAAGCGAATAGGGGTTTAAATTTAAAATCGTATTAAATTTGAAATAGCAAAACCCGTTGTTATCTTAACTGTTTAAATGATAATGCGTAGTACGTTTATATTATTTGCAATACCCGTTAGAAAGTTCCAGCTCCCATTTGTAATTAAAACATTCGATCGATTCTTGCACTAATTTTATTTATTTATTTATTTTAAATGACAGGCGTTTTTGATAGATATCATTAGCCATTTAGCTGACTTCGGGCTTCACAGAGGGAAGGTTCATCAAAGTAGCAGAAAGTCGAGGGGTGGGGAACAGAAGAGCGATTCAAAGATGTAAAAGAGGCAGACAGACACAAAGGTTGAGAAAAAGGTAAGGTGAGTACTGTGAAGGGGTCGAATATGACATAGAGTGGGGTCATGGTAGTTTGAAGTCAGAAGTCAAATGCCGGTTAATACACTTTTTTGCCGTATGACTATACGTTGCCCAGGGTGCACCACGTAGAGGTAAGTCTATCGCACACCCCATTCTTGCACTAATTTCTGTTGTAACCAAATGACAACGTACTCGATCACGGCACGACAACTCACTTGATTGATACAAGCAGATTTACTCTCTCTCCCTCCATCACCCTTCAACAAACCTGCCAAACTGACGGCCTCTCTATTCGTCGCTTTGATGTGTGGTGATAATGCAAATACTTCAAAAGAAACATAGACTAAAGTCTGTAATCTAAATTCTGTAGTCTCGATGACGGGAATATTTTTTTTCTGTTTTTTAAAACGATTAGGCGATTCCAAACTAGGAAATATATTTGAAAACGTTTGCACATATTATTTACTAGTCTTGCAGCACTAGCTCTGAAGATGCTCTACCACATATCTTATCGACTAGGTTTTTTTAACGTTAAGGAAATCTTCGTACTGACCTTAAGGGTACTTTGTGTAGGGTGACGTTGTATGTCCGCGTTGACTCCAAAGTAAAATTATATTCTTTAAAGTGATTTTGTGTGCTTAAGCTTATATACCAACCGCCTGAATTTCCTATTTCATCTGAATTTGCTTTCAACTTACCTCTAAATTGAATTTTTAAGATCTGCATTAAGGAAAGATTATCCCTCTGATAAGAAAATATTTTATATCAAAAGTTAACAGTTAGTGCAAATTTTCATGCGCTCCATTTAATCACAGCCTGCAAACCAGGTATAATAAAATGAAGATATCTCCATTCTTTCTTGACATAATCAATGTAAATTTTGTCGGAAATGCAAATTTTTAAAAATTTATATTTTATGTTTGTCCACGAGATGCGCATTGTCCCAAAATAAGACCACTTTTGGTAAATTTGGACAGATGTTTCTTATCACTAGGGCCTCTTTTGATGTCTTAGGCTTATTAGTGAAATTTGAGCAGATGTTACCGTGAGGCTGACAAAAATGTTGATAAAAATATTATTACTCAATATTTAGAAATCATATATTGCTTCATAAAATATAAACACCCATCACAAGGGAATGAGAAATTACTTTTCGTTAAAATTAAAAAGAGGGTCAATTGTTTTCCAAGAAATAGCCTGCTAGAATTAAGTAACAAATTTAAATGAAAGTTTGCAAAAGTAAATAAAATTCTGATAACGGGACAGAGAATTAGTTCAGTAGAAACTCGCATTAATTAAAATAATTTTTAATTGAGCCATATCAATTTTAACAAAATAGAAATGAAAAGCATTCACATAATCGTTGACTTCGGTTACTCAACTGGCATTTTCTAGAAAAGAATTGAACGAAACTATAAAAAATTATACTTAAGGTGATAATGCCACATCGGTGAGACAGAATAGCTGAATACTTCAACAAATTTACATCTTTCTGCACCGCCTTTTATAATCATTTCTCAAGTTCATACGCAATGAAGTTTGCGGCTACTTAAGTGGGAAAAACAATTTGTACTATTCTAAATGCATTAAAATGATTACCAGCAAGGGGACTAGAAGTTGCTAATTAATCGCTTCGGGTGCAGTAAGCCAGAAATAGCAAAATCTAATAATTGATTTTTCTAATATTTATCCGAGTCGTTGTGAATCAATTCAGTGGATTTAAATCTTAGCTCGCACAATTGCCTTGAATGTATTTTAACAGCCAGCTTTTGAATCTATCATTTTAAACTAAGTGGCAATTTCACCACCTGATGCTAAACTAAATTAAACCGGAATCTAAAAAGTCATAGTTAAGTCAGTCCAATGTGAAAACCAAATATCTACTTAGAGGACACGATAAGTGCGATGGAATTGAAAGGACCAGATGATAAAATCATCTTGAACTATTCCCTGCAATAGTCGTTGAAAATTTAGTGAATGGTGCTGAGAGAACAGATTACGATGGGAATGCATTGGATCGTTCAAAAGTAAAAGACCCAATTCGTGAGAACGAAAAATGGCAGGGAGGGAGCTCCAACATAAAAGTAAAGGCCCGCCTCACAAACTCCTGAACTATCGCTTATTGTTAATTACTGATTTGAAGAAGCAAACCGCATCTATATCGTTCAACCAAATACGCCCCAAATATGGTTAAGTTGCCAATAGGAAATGATTAAATAGAAGAATTTCAAGCGAATACACTATAGTTCTATGGCAGTTGCGCGGCTTAACAGAAATAGATGTTGAAACAAAATAAAATATTTACAGGTTTTGAAATCATTTAAGCATTATTTAAATTTCTTTTCCTTTAATTAGTGGTATATTGATTAAATCTTAAATTTTATGCGACTTATTGCGAGTTTCAATGAGATTTAAAAGGGTCGATTTAAATTTTAATAAGTTTTTTTCCGCTCTTGTCGTGAATATCAGATAGCAAATTGCAGAAGTTGGGAAAATTTAATTTTTCTTGCTATGTGATATCACTGACGAACAGTCCTTAACAAATATGAGCAACCGTTTGAGAATTTTACGAAAAAATGAAAAGTTTAAAAATTTAGTTGAAGATTGGTTGAAACCACCAATAACCTTGAAAGGACAATTTATCTTAATTTTTCCTGTACAATTCGCGAATACTTTTTCATTCCAGTCAATCAATCAATAAAAGTAGCTTTGCCCATTCATAGGAATATTCCTCGATTCAAATCTTATAATTTGCTCCGTTATTTTAACAGCTGTTCGCCAAATCAACTACCTGGGATGTTTATTTTCTTCATCGAAAATTATTATATCAAATATTCTAGCCTTCTTGAACTTTTCATAATTACTCTGAAGTAGCGAGAGCAATAGTAAATTCTTAACTTGGTGAAATGCGTATGCTTAGAACCCTAAAGACAATAGTGAAGTATTTAAAACATCAACAGATACTCCTAACTCGGTTAAAAGGCCTTTTTATGACTCTGGGATTTCTTCATTTGCGTGACACAGATTAAAATATGAAAACATGCCACGTTGATCGGGCGCGTATATTCATCAGTCAAGTCAGAAAAAATGTAGTGAAATACCTGTCAAACAGTCCGGCACATCTGCAAACGGTGTATCAGAAAGATTGGGTTGGATTGAAATTGCACTTTAAATTCTAATGTTTCTATTCATAGGTGGTTTAAAAATCACATTGAATATGAAATAAGTCATGGAATCCTATTAAATATGTATTTCCATGAATGAAAATGAAATAATGATGATGATGAATGAAACTAATAAATCAAGCACCGTTAAATACCTTTTCATTTAAGTTAAGCAACGCAAAATTTTAATTTTGTCAAAGTAAAGCTTTCATGGTTGGAGACTCTCATAATATCTTCAAGAAGTGGGAGTTCCCGCAGAAAATTAGCATAATTGAAGAATTGAGCTTAACTTCAATCGTAATAAAATATGGTGAATTCAACTTAACTTCTAAGTATAAAGCACAAAGTTAACTACAAATAAATTAATTTCTTTTAAAAAAGGTTTTTATTAATATACCAGTTAGATGATAGAAGAATAAGAAAATTGAGTGATCATTGCAAAAATAAACTTCTGTTGCATAAAATGTCCAAAAGTTTTCCGTGAATATTTTAAATTTAAGAGTTATTTCAATGACTGTATTGAGTTAGCGTATTGAGGTAACTGTTTTATTTGCACTTTAGTCAATTAGCCAATTTTAGAACGTCCACAACGATGACTCATCATACATAATATTATCCTCGTGTCAAAAAGAGCCTTAAGTAACTGCCAATATTAACAAATCGCATCCAGCTTCATTTAGCTCGTATTTTCGGCCAACCAATGGGCTTAGAGTTTCAAGGACCCACGGACACACACGCTTAAAAGTGGCAACCCAGGCACAACAGACAAATTTGTAAGCTACTGGTTGTAGGTATATGCTTCTCCAACTAGTGTCTGGCCACCTTGTTCCCAAAACACAACTTTTCTTCCGAAATGAAACGCCAAAACATCAGGACTCTGGCACTCATAGTGTGTACACTGACATACCTTGTTATTGGGGCTGCAGTCTTTGATGCTCTAGAATCAGAGGAGGAGATCAAACAGAAGAAAATTCTCGAGGAGCAGGAGATCCTTTGGCGAAGACGCTACAACATTTCTGAGGAGGATTTTGATAAAATAACTCAATTGGGCATTCAGCGAAAGCCATACAAGGCTGGAACTCAATGGAAATTTACTGGTGCTTTCTATTTTGCTACAACAGTGATAACAACCATCGGTAAATTATTTAAATTTTTATTTTTAAAATATATTTTATGAATATTAAATTATTCCCACTTTCAATGGTTATATGTACACTAAATTTGGCTTTATGTAATAGTCGCTATAACACTTCTTAGGGCCATCGATTGTTATATATTTTTCTTTCAGTATCGTTATGTTAGTTAATTAAACAATGAGGTTTTTTCTCGTCATTTGGTCCTTTTACTAAAGCTGTTACGAGTTTGATTAAAAATGCGATGTAATTCTTTGAATAGAAAAGTTAACTCATACAGATATGTGAGACATTGCTTAAACTGTCATTAGATATTCTCGAAATTTAACTCCAATTTCATCCCTCAAAGGGTAAACGCACTTATCTAAATTATATTTTATCAAACAAAGTTAAAAGTACAAAAGGATTAAAATTTTAAAGTACCCCTTCTATCTCGATGTTTGAAGTAAAGATTCTTCACATGCGCGTTTATGTTTCGAAAATTTTGTGGTGGTAAATAAATCTGAAGAAACTCATCCAGTTATCGACATTGTATTTGAATGTCGCAATATAAGTAATTAAAATAATATCAGGTGTATGAAGTTTTTACTTAAATGAATGAGTTTAACACAATAAAAACTTAAACTAACCTTTTTTCTGAATTTCATGTCAAATAGAAGAAATTTTGATCGTTCCATTTACGAAGCTTAAAAAAATAAAACTCCATTGAAATGTAAGTAACTGCTCATAAGATCGAATATTGTTTTTCATGATTTAGAGATAATTATATTCGTCATGTCAAAACCAATTGTTTCATCATTTTAAAATATCAACTTTGAAAATAATTCTTTTAATCGAGCTGCTTATTCCAACGCCTTTAATATTATATTTATTACTATGTTTTATTAAATTGTTTTGGAGAAGCAAAGTAAGTAGCATTAAAGAACTTAATTTTAACTGTTTTTAATATTTTAGAATTCTGAAAAGTAGAAAAAAAACATTTAGAGATCCTTTTATTCTTGCCCATTATTTATTAAACCGAGCAAATTTCTAAATATTCAATTAGTATAATCACTTGATATAAATATTGACATTTTAAGTGGTGATGGATATCTAAAAAAGCATTTTACTGACCTGACTTATCGAATTAACTAAAATAAACCGTAGATGTCTACTGAAGACCTTTTTTAAAATATTCGGATGAATCGTAAAAACAAGGTTTGTGTTCGCAATTGACATTTACGATAATTTGACGTCACAATAAGTATTGACTTAAATTATTTTTGGGGGAAAAATTCCAGTTCAGCTAGTCATCCAAGATAGCGTGTAATGATCCGTTTTTCCAATATGTGCATGAAACGCGAATTGTATTTTGTAAACTATCAAAGAATGGCAAATAGGTTTCAGTAAAGTGATTTCACTAATGAATTTCCATCTTATCTACAGGTTATGGTCATTGCACTCCTAAAACAAAGGCAGGAAAGATATTCTGCATGGTTTACGCTCTTCCAGGAATTCCACTGTGCCTCGTGATGTTTCAAAGCATTGGTGAGAGGATCAATACGCTTATCACTCGACTTCTCCGTCGGCTAATAAGCCTACTCCGTTGTAAAAACCAAACAGTCTCCCAATCTCACTTAATCTTTGTTAGCGCCAATGTAGTGACCATTGTCGTCACGGCCGGGGCAGCCGTATTTGCTGAGTATGAAAATTGGCCCTACTTAGACGCTCTCTACTACTGTTTTATCACTCTTACTACCATTGGTTTCGGTGATATTGTAGCCCTACAGAGAGAAGATTCTCTTGCAAAACAACCATACTATGTTGCCTTCAGTCTGGTTTTCATTCTTTTTGGCTTGACTGTGGTGAGCTCAGTTATGAATTTATTGGTGTTACGATTCCTTACCATGAACGCTGATGATCAAAGACGAGATGATTTAGAAGCGGCTGCTCAAGCTCAAGAATTGAGACGGCTTCACGGTGACGTGATCCATTCTGTTATTGGTATGACGAATCTTCTGCCTCCAAATACCCGCGAAGATAAAGTCATGAGAATAAATACCGATCAATTTAATGAAATATCAAAGATGAGGGAAATAAATAACTTGAAACAGACGCATCTTAGTTATCCCTATACCGATGACCCAGTTAGGAATCAATTCCAGCCCATCGACATTCAACACTCTGCACTTGTGCTCCTTGTTGAAAAGTATTTCCGCTCTTTTGCTAGACTCTTTAGTCACGAAACGCAGCAGAATTCAGATCCACCTACAGAGAACCTTATGCATATTGCTGAAGATCGGATTACAGCTACAGCTTCCTATACAGAGTCTGAAACTTACGATGAAGAGTATTCTCCGTGGATCTGTCAAAATGGTGAAAAATCAGAAGCCAGAGATTATCCTCAACAAGTCTTTCGGTTTACTGATTCCTGCTACAAAAGTGGAACCAAAAACAAAGAGGCTGACAAACAACCACCGAAAGGAGAAATTGTAGTGATTCCATCCATCTACCCAAGGGATCAAAATGCAGAGACGAAACAAGAGAAAACCAATCATTCCAGTGAAAATATTTCCGGCCTACATGTTCTACCCACCGATGAATGCGAATCTCCACCTCGAAAGTATTTCCGATATTCCACATTTGATCGAGCATCATGCTGACTTTCATCGTCATATATATTTTGTCATTATTATTATTATTATTTTACAGTATTCCAACCATTGAGTGTTTGTATTGTGTGATTTTATGAACAATATTTACAGAATATATTTTACAAACTTTATTATTTTTTTAATAGTAGTCATTCTAGGATATGATGACAGTTATGAACTTTATGAAATACTCTGAAACAAAGGAATTTCATTAATCGTCGGGACTAAGGTGCAAGTTTTAATGTTTTCGATTTCTTTAGTTAATAATTATTAAATTGGGCCTTTAACTGTGTTGAATTCCATTTTACTCTATCTCACCTACTCTGTTTGCTAAAAGTGTTCCAGACGCGGGGAGATTATTTGTAAATATTCACCCAAAATCAGATTATCAATGCTTGAGGGCATCTAAAAGTGTAATTTGATTATCAAAATTTTAATAGTACCAAACTGCAAAACAGTATTTATTAATTTTGTAGATTTTTGTGAATTTTAGTACATATCGAGATGGTCGGAGATTAGCCAGATTTAATAATTAAGCAAAAAACATTATTTTTTTACCTTTTGTCTTGCAAAGACGGACAATGCCAGCGTATTTTAACAATTATTTAATATTATAAGCAGTTAATAATAGCAATAAATAGTAATGTATAACTTATAATATACTTTGACTTTAGATGCAAATATCTACTTTATCTAACAGAAAATTTAGGCTCTGATTAGAACTGCTATTACCTCAATAGCCTCCAAATTCACAATTTTCGATACTAACATGATTTTAATTCAAAATGAGTCATGATATCAGCCAAGCAATTCTATATAACAGTGAATTATTAATTAACTTTATCTTGGTAAAATTGCCCACAATAAACTGGAACTTATCTCCGGATGAATTTCATTCGACTTTTAAATGAAAAAGTGATAAAACAAAGCATCAATGCAAAGAAGTGACATTCTGATTTAAAAACTTTAAAATCCAGGTACCCAGTGTTGGACACGTTTAAGAATCCATTGGCAAAAAGGAGTATTGAACATAATTAACTTCCAATTTTGTAAGATGAACCTTCTTTGTAGGAACCACACAATAAAATATATATTAGTCAATGAACTTTCACAAGTTTGGGTAACAGATTAACTGCAGCCTTTTGACTACTTTAGAGTTTGCTGATTTCATTGGTTCATTAACGGAAGAGGCGAAGATGACATGCAGGGTAGAAGTAATAATTGAATTAGATAAAGTACCGAATATTTAAAACCACAAATTGACATAAAATAGGTAAGTACATAATGCTATCAGAAAATATGGAAAATGAAATGCCAGTTAGACATCAGCAACATATTTTGAAAAAGAGCGAAAAGTTTTCGAAATCACTAAGGAAATCTCTCCCTCTTCCAAAAAATTGATATGTTTATGACAACTAACCAGTGCTAAATAAAATATGTGATTTTTCACACAAAACTACGACATAGAGATCAAAATTCTGTCAGTTTATTTGTCCTTTTTAACGTAATTCCATTTAAACAACGTATATGCTGGGAATATATCAAGCTGGATACTGTTGAATAAAAGTAGTGATGTTTGCCACTGCACGTTTCATTGCACTCTTTTATTATGCATAAAAATTTTAATCATTTTTGAATTAAAATGTCCATGTCGTGATGAAAATTGATTTGTTTTGAAATGTATCCAATATTTTAATCAGTTATATCCGGCCTTGAAATGACAAGCCCATCGCGAATAATAACTAACGCCACTCAACTCGGTACAGCCACGCAAACCAGAAAATAAGCAGGTTTTTCGATATTTATCTGAGTTGATGGTATTGATGAGCGCAGGGGAGGCCATAGCAAGTCCACTTTTCAATAGACTATTAAATTCAATCAATGATAATTCTTACTAATCTCTCAGACATTTGGGGTATTTTTCAATATCTATACTACTCAAATCTTTGAATATATTCTCTTCACCAGAAACTATCATATAACTAAATAAAAAGCATGCATTCAATTTTATAAACCCTGATCTGGAGTTGTTGATATTAATGGTTTGTTGAAATTATCCATCGACACTGTCAATTTTCATCTTGCTTAGCTTAAACTATTCCCTCTTGCTGGATCATAAGTGACCAATATTTGCAGAAGGTCACTATTCGGATGGTCTAACAATTGAAAAAAACTAAAATTTAAAAGTTACTATAATACTGGGCTATCACTTGAGATGGAGGTAATAGTGAATATATGAGACGCAAAAAAAGTATTCAGGGTAGAATTGGAGGAACTGGAGAGACAGTTGGGTAACGGCTACCGAAAAAATTCATCGAACGGTTTAACACTGTATTCAATGAAGGTGGGAGGAAGGATATGAAGCAATTGAGTTGAAGGAACGGTTTCACAAACGTTTAAGAATTTGCTTATGGATTAGTGCGAGTCACAGAAATAGTTTAAGATGTGAAGCGTATACGTGTACTTTTGGTAAGCCAAAAACTGCGAGATCAATTCTCATTGGTTTATTGCATTAATAATGTGAACAGTGGAATGGGAGTTTTTAGAGAGATTTCATGTTGCCTTGTTCTCTAACTCTCCATTGCCGATAGCTTTTCCGTCCATTTTACCACTTTAAAATTTGCAGTACTCTTTGCACAAAAGTGCCGTATTTTGGGTTATTAATATATTAGGTTGGCAACTAAGTCATTGCTGATTTCAAATAAGAAGGCAAATTCGGAATTTTTGTTTAAAAATATAACTTTATTCAATTAGATATTGACCCTTCTTGTCGATGACCTTTTTCCATCGTTCTGGCAGAGTAAAAATTCCCCGTTCGTAAAATGTCTGGTCTTTGCTATTAAAAAACTGAATTAGGTGTGATCCGACATCATCCGCGTTGTTAAAAATTTTACCATTTAAAGAGTTTTGCATGGAACGAAACAAATGGTAATCCGAAGGCGCAAGGTGAGGGCTATATGGTGGGTGTGACAAAACATCCCAACCCAGTTCCAATAATTTTTGCCGAGTAACCAAGGATGTGTGGGGCCTTGCGTTATCCTGATGGAAAACAACACCCTTCCGATTTGATAATGCCGGCCGCTTATCTTCAATTGCATCCTTCAGTTTTTCGAGTTCTTCAACATACACATTTGAATTTATCGTTTGGTTCTGCGGCATGAGTTCAAAATACAAAATTCCTTTGTGATCCCACAAGACTGACAGCATAATCTTTTTTTTTGGTGAATCTCTACTTTTGATACTGTTTGGGCTGGTTGATCTTGCTTCACCCATGATCTCTTGCGAGTAACATTGTTATAAACTATCCACTTTTCGTCGCCAGTAACTAGGTTCTTCAGAAATGGATCATTCTCATTGCGTTTCAGTAGCGGCGAATCACAGATGCTAATCCGTTGCGTCAAATGAATTTCCTTTAACTGGTGAGGGATCTATAAATCAAGTTTCTTGACATAACCAAGGGTTTTTAATTTTTTTTCAATGCATGTATGCGACACATTGAGCTTCTCTGCAATATCTCGTGTTGTGCTGTGACGATTTGAATCGATACTGGCCTTGATATGGGTTTCATCCACTTCGACTGGGCGGCCAGATCGTCGTGAATTTTTCAGTGAAAAATCACCGGAACGAAATTTTTCAAACCAATTTCGACACTGCCTTTCTTCCTCACGGCTTCATCTCCATATACGGCACATAACTTCTTTTGTGCTTGCGATGCGTTCTTGCCTTTTCGGAAGTAATACAATAAAATGTGTCGGAAGTGCACGTCCTGTTCTTTCATTTTTAAATTGGGATAAAAACAAAACTAAAGAACTAAACAAAAGAATTTTTACTAATTAACCCAGAAGCCCATACAGTAAGAAAAAATATAGGTTAGTTGCTCTGGCCACGTTAACAAAACAAAAGAAAGTATAGAGTGAATCCGTCAACAAAAACGGCAATGACTTAGTTGCCCACCCAATAGCATAAGGAGGGACATAAGCCACGCGTTTCGTAATTTCTTTTGTCAATTTACTTTAAGACTTAACAATGTTTAAGACTGATTAATATTCTTAATTTATTAACTTGCACCCTTTAGTAATCGGTGGAAAATCTTGATAATAAAATATGAAAAAAGTCGTTTTCATCTTTTTCAAATCCTATTTGTGAATACACTCTGAATAAACTTTTTCAGTGTAAGCTTTAAATAAAAATTAAAAAAATTAAAATAAAAATTACCACAATTATTTAATTTACTCATAAAAGTTGGATTTTCATTAAAAGTGCCTAAATTAAGGGATGTTGAGGTGTTTGATTTTAAAGAAAGTGTTGTAATTTGATTATTGCAATTTCTTCATCAATTATTTTGAGAATAATGCTAAGCTCACATTTTCTTGTTCGATATTAACTAATTCAATCCACTTATATGCTATTTTTAACCAAAATCATTGTTCCCTAATGAACACAAGTGAACAGATGTGAAGTATTTCGGTTTGACCCCTTGTTAATCGAATAAAGCAACTACCCCGTTATACAGATAGGGTGGGGTTCAAAGAGGTGTCATGAATAAAGAATGACGTATATCCGAGCATATGTAATGTTTATGCTCCCCTTGAATTGCTTTAGCTGTCAAGCAAGAGACAGCTTATTTACTTTGAGATGTCATTATCTCGTCGATTTCAGTAGCTAAAGGGTGTTTGCTTAGGCTATGAAGGGAAGTATAAGATTGGATGATTTGTTCGGTCGGGGGGAAATGTCTACGCAGGCGAAAGAGATTAACAGGGAAGTGCAGATAAGGAAATTAAGTATCGGCCAATTTCTTGAAAAATTAATTATAATTTTAAAATTATAATTTAATTTATAAATAATAAATATTGATTTATTTCTTCAGTATGCGTTTGCTTATATTCGAAAGTGAAAATTTTCATTTTCTGAAGCTTAATACGATTTGCCACCCTTCCTTTCCAAGTTACTAAGAATTCAAAGTATATGTTGAAACAAAACTTTTATTCATTTCTCTATGAAACGATTTA